TGGCTACACCGTAACAAGAAGCCACTACGTGGCGGGACTGCCAGTAGTTATGCATATTTATTAGGTCTAATTATTTAATTAAAAAATCCAAGGTTTTAGATATAGGCGACTGTGCCGCAAAGAAACAAATAAACACAGTTTTGGTTGTGAATGTAAGAGTATACTAACCTTGGGTTAAGGTTTTGGAAACTCTCGGAGGTAGCGGATTGCGATCCGCTAGACTCGTACTGGTTATAGTATGGAACGTAAGGTCGGTGACCTTAGCCTAGCTTCCTCTAAATTTTTTAGCGACGGTAGCCCCGCTGCACAGCCCATATTATAGGATCCACGACAGGAGTTAGAAAAAATTAAATTCGAAAGGGTCCGAATTGAAAATACACGAGATTTCTTTTAACAGTCTTGAAATCCGCCAATTTTGTCGACCCCAGCACCCATTGACATTATTCTAAAATGTTTGGCGAACGGACGTGCATTTCAGCATAATTTGGAAATTTTTGGGGCAAGTAATTCGCCAAGACGCTTTTATTAATCAGACCAGTAAAAGGCACCGACCAAATAGCAATGACTTTTGGGACCTTGCATACTGTTCTTCATGATGAAGCATCCCACAAAAGGGACATTTTATTGACGCCATGAATACGCATGTGTATGCTTACAAAATGTAGCCCATTGAAATGCATACACACGAGGATTGTTCTCAAGTGTTCGATGTGATTCACTGCACGACTGTAAAACATTTATAGGCAAAATGATTTCGCGTGTACGCGCGATGCCACAAAAGCAGTACTAGTGAAATTCGCTCGTGCGTTTGACATTGTAACCAGCCAACATGCCCGGGGTATGATATGGCTGCCATTGTCTCTTATGGGCATTTTATACTTCTCATCAACCGGCTCAAAAGCTTTGAACAAGAACAGCCAATCGTGCTGTTCTACCGCGCGTGCATTATAAGAATTAGTGTTGCGCTGGATTAGCAGCTGCACCACACACAATGTGAACATGCACAGTATTGCACTTCTGATAAGCATTTTTGGCTCAGGAAGTCGACACTATTTGGAAGATATACTTGCTCTCGCCAAACTCACTCCGTGATTCGCACGAATTGGAGTGTCAATGACGCTACATGCAGATCGGCTCAGTAAGCATATTTCTTTCATTGGTCAAGACGGGATCAGGGAACAGGCAGCCAAAAGACTAGATGTGGCAACTGCTGACCTGAAAGTAACCCACGAGCGCTTTCTCATGGCATTGACCGCAAAATTGCTGATGTCGAGCGCCAGGTCTTTGAGGAATGGGACGGAAACATCGTCGTCTTTTTGATGAGGAAAGTTGGAGAGCCGTGGATTTGTCCAATTGTTCAAAAGAAGCAGAAGCACATCACGTCAGCTTTATCAAAACTAGAATATTGCGCGAGAGAACGAAGACTTACATACAGTACCTCAGTGGATGAGAAATTCCACGTGTGAAACTATTTGAAGCAACATACGTCCCAGGTGCTCGAATGATGAAATAATCAAATACAGTGCTCTATACAACCTTATATCTGCAGAGAAAAGACGGACGGGTAAATGAGCAATATATTCTGTTAGCTCAAGTTGCTTAAGTAGGTAAGCACTTATGTGCACTTTGGTAGAATGTTAGATCGTTGTGCCTTTGAATGAGGGCGGACTTATCTGGTCTAGACACGGAGAGTCACCGCGACGTTCTCATCACTCGCCATCCCCACCGAATCGCTTGTATAGCATTGTTCGCGAGAGCCGCACCTTTTCAAAGGCTCAATAAAGTCCCATGTAGTGTCCAAATGTAGGTGTTTAATTCATTTCACCAGATCCTAGCGATAGGTCTAGTATGTTTGTCGGTCTGGTAGGAAGAAATTGCCGCGCCCCGAAGATACTCAAGGTTGCCAAGCACATCTCCGTGCCATGAGACTTACGTTGAGATTCTAAACAACGGGGGACAATATCAATTTCCTGGAACTAGGTCGAGTTTCTGATACGCTCCCTGATCCACAGGTATCACGCGTGTTGGGTCTCTTGTCACCACGTCATCGTATGTTTTCGATAAAGTACAGAAGAAGCTTGCAGGATTCTTGTTGATCGTCCCATTCCTCACCCTGAGAACTGTGTTAGTGTATGCGAAATGGACTCACAAAGAGCACGCCTTTCCATCCAGTACGCTTGATATCCTCACTGTCTCGTAATTCTTCGCACATAACATCAGGATGACCTGTCAAGCTCGAGGATTTCTTGGGATAGATCCGGGGACTATGATCCACTTTACATGTCTCACAAAAATTACCAGTGAATGACATGTACGCTATAACCCTGTAGAGCTGCAATGTATCGCACTGTGACCATGTTTCTGCCGTCTCACCGCGACCACGATAGGCCATCTTTAATACCGTCACGTCATCGTCCCTTTACTTGTGACTGATAGTCACCTGTATCTACAAGGGTTTGCCCTTTTGGACGGCGACACGCAGTCTCTTCCTCGTCCCACGAAAATCAAACTTTGGGAATCTAAGCCCACAAACGTAAATATTCAACGCACCTTACAGGCATTTCTGCCTGCAAAGGTTAGACCTTTAGCGTTTGGACAAATCTTTGCCCTCTACCGAAGCGTGCAGTCATTTTGATCTTCACCGCTTCCTCGAAAGCGGTAAGTGTACGTGTACAATGTCGGAACGAACCACGCATTTACGAAGATCATTCCATAAAGACGGCAGCCGTTACCGCAATCGGTAGAGGGTCTGTCACAATCCGGCATTTCGTGATTTTAAATGTTGATATAGCTTGCTAATTTTCTCTATGCGTGATGGTAGACAAGCGTTTTGACCGTAAGTGGCAAAGAGTATAAAACCCAATAAAACAATCGCTTGATTGGCCCTCATTATGAAAATGCCTCATCTTCCAAGGTACTACGCGTTATTGCCCACTCTCGCAATGCGGCTATCTTGACTAAATAACATTCGAGCGACTCACTGTTATTCCGTCGGGAAAACGCTGTAAAAATGACTGTTTGCAACCATCCATAAAATTTCTCCGTAAGAAGTACTTCTACAGACGTTTAGTTGGAATGCTATAGGAAGGTCTTGCTAGCGTATTTTTATAGCTATTCAATACAGGCGAGAGATAACCGCTTCCGGGCCTAGGGCGAACAATTTCGCTACATCCTCGGGATCTAAAGACAAGTAATTAAAAGTGACTTGTTTTTCCAGAGACAGATTTTAATGGGATACACTTATACATTATTTAAAGGTACAGCTATGCAACTTCTGTATGCATTGAGGGGATTTGGATAAAGAAGATTAAGGTATATTATATCCTAAATGCAAACGTGACATCTTATATGAAGTCACAAACATTCTGTGAGATACAGAATGCTGGATCTCACTTGGGGTCTGCAATATTGACGAGACAGACGTGTCTTTGTCTGTTAAAGTGGATACAAACTGCTACTGGATACTTTCTTCGAAAGTTGAAGTTCAAGCTTCTCGAAGTTGAAGCGCCGTTCACCCACGATTTTGGATTAGCTCAAGCTAATGTTCAGTCTCAGTATACCCTTAATTGTATAATTTAAGAGTCCAAAGTTTAATTAGTAAAACACCTAGGAGCCCCTTGAGGTGTTCTGCATGTAGCAGGAGTCATTAACTCATTTTAATTCAGTTGTAAATTCGCATTCAAGGTCCCAAGCCGTTTCTCCCTTTCTCCAGTCGGGGCTGTCCTTCTCCCTCCACGTCGAAAATTGCTTCTTCGTAGCACAAGCATGTGCGTTGTGTTTGAGGGCCTGACGTGAATAGTCTCCTTTTACACAGATACGTAAACATGTCGGGTTCCACCTACAGTTTTGCTCAGCTCGGGTTGCTGGATCTGCGACAAGAACTACTGCACAGGAAGCAATGACTCTTAGATTCCTCGTTAACTGATGTACCAAGGTCAGTCTCACCGGACACCCTCTAGGTGTTGAAATGAGAGCCTTTCGGGCAAAGAGTACTTGTTTGCTCAGCTATCAAATGAAAATTTTCAAAAGT